ATTACAACAATTCAAAATTTTATAGGAATATTTGGGTATACATACAACTTTAAATAGATAGAGTTTAATTAATGTCATACATTTCGGTACATAAAATGTATAGCATATTCGGTTAACATGAAAGGAAAAAATTCTCCTAAACCTATGCTTTCCATTTAGAGCCCATTTGGTAATATTCAAATCAGCTAAATTGGTTGATTTTGCTGAAATTTATGAAGTTCAGACTGAAATGGATGTATTTGGCTGATTCTGCTGATTTATCGATAAAACATATTCAAAATATATTTTATTAATAAAACAAAAAAAATTATATGAAAAATAAGTAAAATGATTATCTACAGTATTTTCAGCCAGTAACTTAAATCTTACTCTTTCTTATTATTACACAATTCAATGCACGAAATAAAAAGATACGTTTTTTATTACAAAGCTGACTGATAAGTCTGATAAACAAAAAAACAGACTTACCGAACACACTTAGGTTATGGGTATGTTTGGCACAACTAGTTGAAAAGATAATTTTATGAGCTTTCTAGTAACTGTTAGCTTTTAGTGACTGAAAAGATCTTAAAAAGAAAAGACAATATCTGTTTGGTAAAAAGATGACTGTTTGATTTAGCATTGTTTGGTATACAAGCTGTTAAGACTAAGGCTATGTTTGGCAGACATAAGTCCCTGTCTTCTGATCTAGCTTTTGTAATATTGAAAAAGTCTTTAAAAGCTTCTAGTTGTATGTTTGACATGCCAATTTTTAAGAGCTTTTGTAAAAATAAAAGATATTTTTTGAGATGCTACAGTGAGTAGCATCTCAGATAAGTCAGTAGCTTCTAGTCAAACAGTCAGAACTAAATCAAACAGCTTGTATACCAAACAGAGCTAAATCAAACAGTCAGCATTTTACCAAACAAGCACTGCCTTTTCTTTTTAAGATCTTTTCAGTCACTAAAAGCTACTAAAAAGCTTATAAAAGTATCTTTTCAGCTAGTTGTGCCAAACATACCCTAATTAATACTATAAGCTACTGACTTATCTGAGATGCTACTGACTGTAGCATCTCAAAAAAGATCTTTTATTATTATAAAAGCTCTTAAAAATTGGCAAGCCAAACATACAACTAGAAGCTTTTAAATATTTTTTAAATAGTACAAAAGCTAGAAGGCAAATACTTATGCCTGCCAAACATAATCTATGTTTGGCGGGCATAAGTCCCCGCCTTCTAGCTTTTGTACTATTTAAAAAGTTTTTAAAAGCTTCTGGTTGTATGTTTGGCAAGCCAATTTTTAAGAGCTTTTATAAAAACAAAAGATCTTTTTTGAGATGCTACAATGAGTAGCATCTGAGATAAGTCCGTAGCTTCTAGCATTAATTAGTCCTAACAGCTTGTATACCAAACAGAGCTAAATCAAACAGTCGATTTTTTACCAAACAGCTACTACCTTTTTAAAAGATCTTTTCAGTCACTAAAAGCTAACAGTTACTAAAAAACTCATAAAAATATCTTTTCAGCTAGTTGTGCCAAACAATACTTAATGTTACTCCCTCCGTTCCATAAAATTCTTCTCACTTTCCTTTTTGGATCGTCCCAAAAAAATCTTCTCACTTACTATTTTTGGATAATTTGTGTGGTTCACATTCATCTCACCTTTTTATTAAACAACCACAACCATACATTTCCACTTTATTCCACTTTCTTAATCTTCATGCCAAATCAAAGCGAGAAGAATTTTATGGGATGAAGGTAGTATTGAAGAATACTTTCCATCCTCACGTGTTCCTACGGTAATAATATGCTATACATTTAAATTATTAAAACCTAAGTTATTAATTGCACTACTCCCAAGTTATTAACCCTATTTGATAAAGAACCCCTTTTTTATGGTGAAATATCACCTTTTAAGAAACGCTTTACTTTAATTTTTACATGTACGAAGTATTTGTTACTTTAACCCTTCGCTCACTCAAAAGCTGAAGTCAAAGCTCTGCCAAACTCCTTCAGAAACGAGCTAACATTAGCATACTCTGCGAAGGCTTTCGTGTCAGCTTGACAGCGCAGCAGCTGCGGAAAGAACAGCCAAAAGCCCGTCGCCATCAAGAATCCCAATGACAACGACGTCGCAACAAACCTCGGCAGCCTGTACCTCCCCTTCAGTTTCTTCTTCACTGCAATCTCCACAGCCAAACAGCTCCCATGGAGAACGAAGAACAGTGTGATCTCCCAAGTGGGTTTCACCCGACCCAAATAGAAGAACATCAGCTCGTGCATCAGCCCCGACACGGCAAAAGTTGACAGGACGGCGGGGGTCGCCGCCCATTCCCGGCCAAAAAGGTTGGTGGAGAAGCGGAGAACAGGGTTGTAGACTGTGGGACGAAGAATGCGGTTGACCATGAGGTTCCATCTTCCACCCCAGAAATTTTGCAGGGAGGTGGTGAAATACGGGTCCTTGAATTGTGGCTCCAAATCCAGACCAAGAATCCCGCTAGTCATGGCTGCAAGAATGGCTAGTATAATCTCCAGGTAAATGTAAATGTGAATGAAATATACGGTGAGGGTCATTGTTTTGTGATGTTTATGTTCACTGTAATTGTAAACCCCGATCATAAAACTGAGCAGAAGTGCCTTTATTGCGTAAATCAAGAATTTCGGACGGGTCTTTGATATTTCAGCCCGTGACTCTTCCTGAAGATGAACATTTTCAGTGGATTCTGGATTTGGATTTTCTGTGAAATTCCCATGCTTAGAGTAAGCTTCTACTTTTTCCAGGGATTTACAGTGTATGGTTTCTTGAACATCTCCATTTAGGGAGAGAGGATCAGACTTGTCAAAGGATTTTTTTGGTGGGCTTTCTTGAAAAGTCCTATTTTGAGGGTAATGATCATAATCTTCCAAGGATTTTTTATGTCGGCTTTCAAGAGAAGTCCCATGTTCAGGATAGAGATGTGTTGTTCCTAAGAACTTTTGGTGTGGGCTTTCTTGAGAAGTTCTATTTTGAGGATAAAGACAAGTTTTTTCAAAGGATTTTGGGTTTTTGTTTTCTTGAAAATGGGATTTTTGTGAAGAGTGGATAGTGATTTGTTTCTGGACATTAACAGGGAAACAAGCAAGGGCAAGAAAACGAGGGAGAGAGATGGAAGGGTCAGAGAGAGGGCCATGGCCAAAGGCAAGGAGTAGTAATTTGAAATTGGCAAGCCAAGCAAGGAAGAAACCTGTGGTGCCACCAAGATGAATGGAGTGGAGGTTGAGGGGGAGGAGAAATAAGAGACACACAACAGGGAGAAGAAACAAGAGCCTTGGCTTCCCCTTTTGCACCAGCTTGGCTGCAAAATAGCAATAGCAGAGAGATATGTATGCTGAAGTCCATATCATTATGAAGTTTGTAATTTCCCCCTCCATCCAATACTTGATCACACCTTTTACATCTCTTCCCTTTTCCATGTTCCTCTTCAGCAATTTAGTCTCTTCTTTGGTAAGTTCTTGAAGATGATAAGGGGAGCGCAAAATATTGATATGTATAGTATAGTGTATTAGTGCAGCGTCTTCTTTAGTAGAATTATGATTTACAATCTTAAATCTCAGCACCTTAAGGGCCCATTTGGAACTCAGAAAGGATAATATAGAAGAAATTTGGAAGGAAAGAAAAGTCGAGGAAAAAGGCACTGTTTAATGCACAGTTAATACACATTTACGGAGTATTATTTAGTCAAATTCATTTTTGTATTCATTTCTATTATACCAATACTAAGAAATCTAAAAAAAAATTGTATGTCATTTCTATGGCAATTTCCAACTTAAAATCGAACAAAAGAAAATAACTTTTATTTCTTCTCCGAGATATTTCAGGGACCCAAACACAGCCTAAGGGAACTAATATACACCAACTATTTGTCAACCAAGCGCTTATGATGTTCAGTTACTCAACCATTAACTTGTATATTTGGGATCATGGATTCCACATTTGCGATCACAAGCCCTATTTCTCGGTGTATATTGGACATGTGAACGGTTAGTAGTTAGAACTAGTTATGCAAGCATAGAAAACGTGGCATGTTTGGTATTGAATAAATTTAATGCCATGCCATTGGGATTCATATGCTTGGCTCCTTCATCATATAGATATCACATTTTAATGCCCCATAACGATTATAAGATTATATTTATAAATCGAATCCAGTACAAAAACCATCAATCTATTCTTATTAAGAAAGCAATCTAGAATAGAAAGACATGTGGATTATGTTACATGTTCCATAATCCACCTCTGGTTTGTCCCTCATTCAAATTTTATGGTCATGCTCATCTTTTGGCTACATCTATGGATCTGAAACTCTATTCTTGCTTTCAAGCAGCTCAGACCCCATTTTGGTGTAATATTGAATTCCGGATTCCCCAGTTAATCGGACAAATGGAGAATATTCTGGAAGTTGAAGACAAACTAAACAAACCAAATAAAATCTCTGAAATTTAAGTTTTCGAAATGGATACACAAAACTTTTTTGCCAGTTTTATTGGTATAGGTTTTTTTTTTGAAATTTGTCTTACTTTTCTTTTTGAATTATCTCAAAATGAATGTTATATTTTCGTTTTTGGCAAGAAATGTGTGGTTCTTATTATTTCACTTTATTTTACTCAAATCTCAACCACAACTTTTACTTTGCAACCACTTTATAATAATCATGTCAAACTAAATCAAGACATCCGGTATGGGAATATGGGAAGAGGTAGTATGTATTTTCTTGACAGCATATATTGTCAGCAACTTCGTGAACATGAAGCACTTCAAGCCAAAATAACTTTTTGACTAACATACTCCCTCCGTCCCCCTAATATTGGTACAGAAGGGAGTGGTGTGGTTTTTAAGAAAAGTAGAATTATGTGATTGCTAATGAGTTGATAAAGTGGAAATAAAGTAAGAATGAATTAGAGCCACACAAATGTTACCAAAGATGGTATGAGACAATAATAAAGGGACATCAAAAAATGGAAAAATGGGACAATTATAGGGGGACGGAGGGAGTAATAGTCTCCGGTGTTTTTTTTTTTGGAAATAATAGTCTCCAGTGTTAATCATTAAAGAAGAAAAGAGGGCTAAGCTAAACGTCCAACAAACAAGAATATATCTAACTGTCAAAAGATACCCCCCTCCTCCACTAACCATCACACAACAAATATAACACATCAGGATTTCCCACCACCTTTGAATGCTCAGAAAATTACCAGGGGAAAAAATAGACTAAGAAAAATTCAAACAGTGAATCAAGAACACTCCCAACAGGTGCAGAGCAGTTCAAGAGTAGCTAAATTTATGTTGCTGGCCATTCTTTCTTAATCTCAAATGTATAGTTGATCTCCAGGTAGCATTTATTGTCATCATCGGTGAACTGTTGAAGAAAATTGATTTGTAGGAAGAAATTATGATAATCAATCAGATATATCTGTGTAAAACCTTAACTGCCTATACTCCAACTAAAGTGAAAGTTCAATTACTTTATACTACGTAATATGTATGTGCTTTATGCAATAAAGCTCCGTTTGGTAGTCTGATATGGCTTAATCTGGTTCTCAGCAGAACAAGTTGAGCTTTTGGCCAAGCTATTTGGTTGAAACTGATGCAACCAAACGGTTTTACATTCGGAAGATTCAGCAAAATCAACCATTTCAGCCTAAAAATAGCACTTACCAAACGCATCTTTAATTGGTACTCACCTTTGACTTTGCGGAATATGATCCCCTAGCAAACATGCCAGAAGGGGTTGTCTCTTCAGGCATTTCGTGTGTGTAAGACTCCAGTTGTGGACTGAAGGTGCCAATCATTTGCTTCGTGCCGTCCACTATTAATATGGTCAGGGGGGAAAGTTAACACAAAGTAAAAAAAAAACATTCTGAAACATAAGATAAAAATGTATGAAGATTAATGGTTACCTTTAATGCCAGTTTTCCAGACAGTGTTTGCATACTTGAGGCCAGAAACAATGTTATTGCTGACCTGGAATGAAAATGTTAGGCTGTAACGGCTGCCTTCTTTCAATGTAAACCATGGGCTGCTAGGGTTTCCGTCTTCAGGGATTGAGAGAACAATATCCGATCTCTCTGGAGATTTGATTACAAGGCTCAGGATCTTAACTTCTGGATCCAGAGATTCTGTAGTTATGGAAGTGAAAAGAAACCATGTTTTCCCCATTAGATAAAGATCATGAATGCTACTATTCACTTGTGCCGGAAAAGAGTTTCAATGAAATAGATATATTTCAAATAAGGCCTCATTTGGTAGCCACAAGTTTTGGCTTAATCCCAAAATAAACAAAATAAGTAGGATTTGACATACATAGACACCATTTGGTAAGGGTTGTTTTGCTAATAGCTAGCATTGCTGGAATATTTTAAGGAAAAAGTGTTCAGCAACATCCATTTAACTAAATAAGCAAGCCAAAGGCTACTTTTTCTGATTCCAAATGGAGCGTTATTTGGTTGAAATTGGTGTTACCGAACATATGACAGTTGAAGGTTGTTTAGATTTCACATACACTCAGCTCACTTCTAACGAACTATTCAATTTTTCAGGAAGAAAAAATAAAACATTATGTTCACGGGCATCTATGTTCAAAGCAGTCTAACCAAGAGCAGATTTGCCTAAAGTCAGATCCAAACCCACACCCCAATTACTTATGTTTAACCCTATTCAGTAGGACTCTTTAGGAAGTAAGAAGAAACATAAACAACGTTCTTTTCAAAAGCATCTTTGTCAAAATCAGTTTTGGCAAAAGCACAACTTATAGTTTTAAACACACCCTGATTCTTTCACTTTGGGTATTAATGGGTAAGATTTACACTGCCTATGTGAAAGAGTAGTATGTTTGAGGGATAACCCAAATTATAAAAGAATTGATGACTCAAGAGTTTCAGATCCTAAACGGCTGCTTGTTGCATTTTCTCAATTGGACGGTTGTTATCTAACAAGCATAGATTGATACCACCATGCTGCTTGTTACACCGCAAATCGAAAACGATCCAATCAAATCAAAGATGGATCGATCAAAAGGTTGTGAAGAACTCAAGCAACAAATCCGAATTGATCAAAAGAAAATTTCAAGAACAAAATAGAAATATATTTGTATTTAAAGAAATGAAAGAGGAGCAAATATTGAAGCAGGAGGATAGTAATAAATATACCCCCAACAGAATTTATATCCACACTCCCAAGAAGTTGCTCCTTCCACCTTCTCAAGCTCTCATCCTCCTACATTTTTAAGAAATCACAAATTAAACCAAGCGAAAGACAGTATGCATATATTCTATAGGTGTGGGGTACATGGGTATGTACCTTATCTTTTTCGAATTGTTCCTTAAGAGTAACCTGAGGGCCTAATTGGATCTTATTTTCAGTCTCATCATCTTCTTCATCCTCAGTAGTATACATAGAACTCTCACTCATATGCCTGGAAATCTTTTTCTCAACTGCTTCACCGTCGGTTTCATCATCTGCCATTGATTTGGAGTTAATGTCCTCAGAAACTTCTGGGTCTTTCCCAGCCAAGCCCATTGTTCCAGAACTTGAAGCCACTCCAACAACCAATGACATCAACAAACAACCTTAAAAGTCTCAACACTTAATGCAGATTAGTTTTAATTACAGAAACGCACAGAGACTAACAATAAGAAGATCGAACCTTTTTCTTGTTAAAGATTAAATCTTTTGGGGGAAATTGGAGAGATGATCTAAAAGGAGAAGTATGCGGAAAAGAAATGGGTGAGAATTGAGAAAAGAACTAAAGAAAAGGGTCCAGGAGTGATCCGGAGATTGTGAACGAATGAATGGAAAACCGGTAGTTAGAGTCTTGAGAGAGAAACCGTGAAGGTCACCTCAACGCGGCTTCGGTTCAACGGTATTTGGATGAACCAGGTATGAGCTCATTCGGTATTTGGATGAACCAGGTATGAGCTGATTGGATTCTTATTAAAATTCTCACTTTCCTTTTTTGGGATGTCCCTTATTTAAATTCACACTTCCATTTTAGGAAATAAAACAGTGCAAAACAGTGTCAAACAGTGTTCAAACAGTGCCAAACAGTGCCAAACAGTGCACTCCACAGTAAAGTCAAATTCATTTTCTTAATATGTGTGAAGTCAAACTGGGAACTTAAATAAGAACCGGAGGAAGTACATGATTATGCTAAAATTTACTCTGTCCTTCTCATATTTAATTCCTGAAGTATAAATGACACACAGATTAAGATAGTGGGAAATGTGTGGTGGAGAGTTGTGCAGAAGAAAGAGAAATGTGTAAGAATATGTAAGAATGATTGTGAACCACAAATTCATTATCAAAAACAGAAATAGGAGATAAATTTGGGACAGACCAAAAAGGAAAGTATGAAGATAATTCCGGGACGGAGGGAGTATAAAGTTTCAATTCAAATGGTCAGATGCCCGGATTCGCTAATTTTGCTGATATATGGGGAAAATTTTAAGATATACTCCCTCCGTTCTCTAATATTTGGTTCTCTTTCCATTTTGAGATGTTCTCTATTAGTTGTCTCTCTTTCCACTTTTGGTAAGCTTTTTCAATAAATATACTCATTTACTTTCATCCTCTTTCCTACTTTTACTTTTACACACAACTCACTACACCTTTTATCCTACCCCTATTAATTCCTTCTTAAATCTTGTGCCAAAGACTATACTCCCATCTATTAGAGAACGGAGGGAGTATTTTATTAATAAAATCAAGAAATATATATATAAAAAACAACTAAAATGATCATCTACAATAATTTTATCAATACATCAAGAAAAGTAATTTCAACCTTACTTTTTCTTATTATTACACAAATCACCGCGCGTAATCAAAAGTTTGGAGAAAAAGTTGGTAATAAGCGTGATAAGCCGAAAAAAAGTTCACCAAACAAGTTCTACACTAGACTCGTCCGTCTACTTTATTTTCAGAGAGAATGAATATATCACTTTTCGGTTTATCTCGAATTAGAATGAGTAGAAAGAATGATTACTAAAAAAAATCATACTTAGTATTATGTCTTTGTTTGGATCGATCTAGTTTATTTTGGTAGGTTCAATTTGAATTTATTGTTTGTCGAGGTTTATTCCTTCAACACAAAGGTTCAACACGTTTCCTTGTATTTCGAGTGAAGAGTTTAATGGATTTATGATGCAAGCAAGTAAGATGGATCGATAAGAGAGTAGTAAGTGGGTTGTATCTTATTAAATGATAATAAGGGTTCATATACAACACACTTCAACTACTAGTCGAGAGGCCGTTCGTCTATCTTGATGAGTGCAAGTGACGGGATCCATACGACCTATGCAAGTTGTCTGGTTGTAGATCCTGGAATATTAAATGTTCCTTGTTTAGACAAGGTCATTGAGGTCGAGTGTCCTGAGGTATCCGATGCTCGTCCTCCGATAATCTGGATGGACCACGCCGATTGGGCCCTGGTGCTTTATCTACTAATGGGTAATGGGTCGGCTCACGGTCAGATCCATTAACCCAACATAAATCTCCCACTTCTGATGTTCCGAACGGGCGCGGGACATAAGAAAGTACAAGGCCTTTACACCATCTCATGATAACGGGAGAAAATGATGGGACAAAATGTGTCGAAGTTGGAAATTGAGTACAAAATGATAGTCATAGATCAAAATTGAAATTTTTTCGTGAACAAAATAAAATAATTTTAAGGGCTTTTCCGTCATTTAGGTGAATATACAGACAGAAATATTGGCCACATAAGACGAAGCGAGAAGAGAGAGACAGACAGAGATCAGAGAGAAGGCAAGGAAGAGCTGTTCGGGGTCGTTACTTTTCGTTGAAGACTATACTGTATATGAAGCTATAAGCCATGGCGTCCGACCAGGAGATAGCGGAAGGTGTTGAAACATTTCTCCGTCAGTTGGACCCTAACGCCGTCATTTCTCTAAACGGCGTCGTTCAGCAGCTCGGAGCTAAGCTCGGCTTGGACCTCTCTCACAGAGCTGGCTTCATCAATGACCAGATCAGCCTTCTCCGATCAAATCCGGCGCCGAACCAACCGCAGCGGCCGACTCCGGTGCAGTCAATGTACCCTTTTGCCCTCCGGACCCATCAACAATTCCAAACCACCAAACCGGAGCAACACTTCTATTCCCATTTTGCTCTTCAGCAGCTGCACTACCAGCACAACACTCTACCGCCGATTCCGCAGCAAATGACGATGCAGCAGCAATTTTCGCCTGCTCCATCACCTAACGTAGTTCGGGTTACAGCTGCTCTGAATGCAGCACAAAACGCCTCTCCTGCTATGAAGGAAAGGTGGTTTCTTCTTCTTCTTCCTTTTTTTTGAGTAATTCCGAGCCACTTTTATGCTTTTCTTGCAACAATTAGACCTAGATTTATCATTATCATTATATCTTTTTAAAGCATTTCATTTTCATTTTCATTTACCCCAGTGCCGCAAAGGCTCTCACCGTAGGTGGGGTAAGGGGGTCGGATGTACGTAGTCTTACCCGCCCCGGTACTAAATCCCGTTCAAAATTGCATGGACTGACTGTTGCTTCATAACAAAGAAGCGCAGACAGTTTAGTGAGTCATTTTGCTTTATTCCATCATAATCTCAAGCCAAAAAATAATGAATCTTTTGCTCCATTGCAAATGATGGAAAGATATCTTTTTAAAGCATTATGTTTCTAAATTCATTTGAATTTGATAGCAATTAGGTAACAAGTTTTATGAGTACAAGTTATCGATAAACAGAGGTTACAGAGCAATTGCTTCATCATATGAAACACTTCATAAACATACAGATATTTACGGATATCCTGACAACAATCTGACATAGGATATGCCCAAATTTCGGACATTAGTTTATCTTATACACTGCGTACTATGGGATTTTATGCAGCACTAGGCTTTTTAGGCCAAGTCTTTTTTTTCTTCTCAAATTTATAGTCTTTTAAAGCCCTTTGATGAATATGGGCTCAGAATTGGATGAACTAATGGCTGAAAAGGATGTCTTTGTTGAAAAACCTGAACACATATTAATCATACTTTTTTGAATGAGGTTTAAGGATAATTTACCATCCTTTAAACCATTTGATTAAAAAAGTAAAATCTGCACTAGTTTTTTAAACTAGCAGCCAATTATGCTAATGAATTAAAAAAGTCTCTGATAGAAAATCTAGCTGATAAGGTGATAAAGCTAATATATAAAGAATTAATTGGCATTGTGAATTTCTGAATTCAATCATTGGTAAAGTTAAAGTATATTCGGGTGGAGGATTGACCCCATTTCATCTTTTGAATCGTTTTATCCTTTTATCTTTCATATGTTCATAATCTTTTCATCTTTTTTATCTATATATCTTTATCCTATCTTTTTTATTATTTATCTTATCCTGACTTTTTATCTTTTCTTATCATTTTTAATTTTAGCTCTGATTTCATATGTCGATTCATATTAGTGGACCCCAAACTCTCTCGGGACTAATGCGTGGATGTTGTTGTTGTTCTTTATCATTGGTAAAGTATCTTCTGTATTTGACTTCAGTACTGCTACTACTGGTGGGACCAAAAGAAGAGGCGGAGCAGGTGGGTTGAACAAAGTCTGCAGTGTAACACCAGAACTTGAGGCTGTTGTTGGTCATCCGGCACTCCCTAGAACTGAGGTTGGGTCTTCATTTGAAGGTTAACTTTGATCAGAGTAATAATAACTAATGTGTCGTTTTCCATACCAGATTGTGAAGCAGCTGTGGGCATACATCAGGAAGCATAACCTACAGGATCCTGGGAATAAGAGAAAGATCATCTGTAATGACACCCTCCGCTTAGTCTTTGAAACAGACAGCACTGACATGTTCAAGATGAATAAGCTTCTCTCAAAACATATTCTCCCACATGATCCTACAAGTATACTATCTATCTACAAAATTTATGCTTAGACTTCGTTTGTCTACAAATTTTTTTTTATGGGAAAATGTTATTCTGGTTTTGATGTGTAATGTGCTCTGCACTAGGAAGATATTTTCAAAAACGAGTATCTTATGTGTATCTTCTCTCTCTTTTCCCAACAATTTATTTCTTAAAATTCCCCTATATTTTTTTTCCATAGCATTTTCCGAGTTCGCTGTGAACCTTTACCTTTATGTGTAAAGCACTTTCCATTTTGAAAACAGGCAATTATATTTCTGAAACAGTTCTGTACTTTCTGGGTCAGAACATTAGATATGTGTAGAACGGCTTCCTTTCCTGGAAAACATCTTGCACCAAAAATACTTTACTAGATAACATTTGTGCAAAAAACTGTTTTCCTGGAAACAAATGTGACGTAAGTTTTACATTAGATTATGTGTAGAATGGCTTCCTTTCCTGAAATCATCTTCAACCAAAAATACTTTACTGAAATGTGACCTAAGTTTTACACACCTGTTTCCAGCTCATGATTAAGACACTACGAAAATGAAATAACTAACTAAATAAATGAATGCAGAGCATACTAATAATTACATAATAAGAACACTTATGCCATAGTAGATTACCTTCCAAACATGTAGAGATGTGTGGCAGTAGTGTAATATCATGGCTAAATGGCTTTTTCTTGTTCATTGTATGTAAATATTAGGACAACCTGAACAAGCTAAAAGATTGAAGGTTGAAACTACTTCGAAACCAGACAATGAAGACTCTAGCTCGCAATCTGTGATGATATCAGACGCACTTGCCAACTTTTTAGGATCTTCAGAAAGAGAGATGCTTCAATCAGAAGCACTCCAACGTGTTTTGGACTATGTAAAGGTTAACCGTCAGGAGGTATGCATTGCAATTTTAAATCTCACTCTCCTGGTAATATAATTTAATTCCGTGCTTAATTTTATTTACATGAATCTCATTGCATTGATTTAAAGAATTTACGGCATGTCTGGACTCGACAGGAAAAAAGGGTTGGTGCTTAACTTGAGGTAAAGAAACTCTGACCTCCATTGAGGTTTGGGTATTACCACAAAGACCCTTGTAGTATTAAAGATAGGCACTTTAACCCCTATGACTTTAAATTACATACGTTAATTTTTCTACACCTTTCAAATGTATTAATGCATTTACGCATCCCTAGAAACTGGAAAGTGTATCACTGATCACCCATAGAGGAAGCTCAACACCTATTTTTAATACTGCAGGGGTCGTCATGACAATTCAGCTATATCTCGAGTCAGGTCACAGATAGTAACATAATGAATAAACCTAGGAAATTAGGCTTTCATGCATTCTCCCTTCTTTCACATCCATATCACAAGTTATTTGAATCTTTGTTAGTCGTTAAGCAATATCTTTATTTGCCATTTTTTGTTGGTTTTGCTTGTCTGGTCCATAGAACTCTCCAGATACTGAAGTGATTGAGTGTGATGCTAAGCTTCAGGAGCTGTTTGGATGCAAAAGCATTACTACCATGGAAATACCTGAGAAGTTGGTGCGCTATCATCTGTTCCAGCAGCGCTGATCTCTGTTGTAGTCTTGTAGAGAATAGTAAACAAGTAAGCTGTAAGGCTTTTACATGGGTTTAGATTTTTCTGTACATAATAGGAATAAATAATTCAAAAGGTTTTGATCACATTTCCGTAATAAATTTATTAAGCTTTAACCAATGCTTTATATATATATATATATAAATTTTACCCTATATTTTATTTCCCTAGCATTTTTTGAGTTCCAAACAGATGCTTAAGACTTAGTTCATCAAATTGCTTGATTTTAGTGCACTTTTTTAAATCATCCGTATTATTAAGGATAGCCTTGGTTTAGAACCTTTTCATTTGGACTGGAATTTCAGATTTGAAATGATGTGGTTGGTCTAGTCTACTTAACTCTGGCATGGTGTAATGCTATGTGTATTTTATTATGATTTGATGGATGTCATGTTTGGTTCGGTTTGTTTAATTTGATTTGTTAAGGTCTGGTCTGAAGTCTGAAATAGTGTGGTCTGGTCTAAGTCCAAGTGAACAGCAGAATAGGTATTTAGGAGTGAAGTGCCAGTCATTACTTTCATATATCAACCTTTAGAAAACAACAGTAAGATTCTTACACCATCGCATTTTTTCATATGTATATCTTTTGTCATAAAAAAACCTTTTAGTTGGTGCTGTATGAACTAATCTTTATATTTAAACAAAAATGGTTTTGCCAATGAATTTTATATGCAAACTTGGTTGCTGCATAACTCTCATCATCATCATCATCATTACCCCAGTGACGCAAAGGCTCCCACCTATGTTGGGGTACGGGGGGATCAAATGAGTGGTGTAACACACTCATCATCATCATCATCATCATTGCAGCGTAACACTCATCAAGCAAATTTTATTTTATTTTTCTTTGCTTTGCAGATCGCTCGAAATTGGGGCTGTAGCTGTGTAGTTGATAAGTAAGTATATGACTAATGATCTGAAGCTGTATGGTAATGTATTTGCTTTTAGATATGTCTAGCGTAATTATATTGCCAGTCTGTAGATGTAAAATGTGTATGATCTATGTAGTAGGATCCGCTAACAGAATTTGTAGTTTCTGTGAAAACCTTTTCAATTGACTTGTGTAATGTCTTGTGAAAAAGTAGATTTTTCTTTCTTATTTTTACTTTTTGCTGACGCCTTTCATTTTTGCTTTGAAATGCTATTTTTCTACTCAAACTTTGCATTTTCTTTTAATTTTAGGTTGAAGTTTTTTTATTTATTCGACCTGGTGAGTCATGCCATTTCTTTGTAGTCCTTTATCTTCCCCGTTAAAAAATCTTCTACATCTCACAAAACACTAGTCTTAGCTTTTCCAGCATCGACTTTCTACATAGTACGTAGTATAATTTATGATTGGCGACTATAATTTCTGGCAAAACTCATCATTAATTAAATTTATGCATTGCATTACGATTCAGGAAAATTGATTTGGTAAATCTTTGAGCTATGTCTGTTTTTAAACAGAAGTCGACTGAGAATGACTCGATGACCTATACAAGTCTCTCTTTTATTCCCTTCAACTTTTGTATCTTGAAGATGTTGATGTATATTTCAGTGCAAGGACACTCTTACTACCCAGTGGTAAATTGCCAAGCTCTGACCAAAACTTTCTGGAATTTGCATTTTTATCTTCCAAGCCTTCTTCTATTTCTTAAGGTACATCTAGTTTTCACAAGCAACAATATGAACACTATCACAAGTAATACAGCACATAGTGTTCTCATGGTCCTCTTCTCTCTTATATTTCCCAAATTCACTTGAGAATCCATCTTCTCCTTTGCATTCATCAAAAGAGACATCATTTTCTGCACAAAACCACTTCTGAGGTCAAATGTCGGAGTATGCTAAATATTTAATGACCGCTTACCAATCTAAGCGGCTCAATTTGAGAGAGTGGCTCCATAAACATCTCCACATTCCTAAAATACACACACACACACACATATATATATATATATTAGTAGTAGCATTCATAATCATAAAACTTATGAGACCTGTCAGTTAGATCTGTATAGGGAGAGGTGTTAATACCTTATCATTACCTTCCCTTCATAGACATGGCACATGTGGAAGCTAAAACCTTTTCCCAGAGGAGCATGACTCTTTCTACACTCTGGAGCATGAGAATATGGGGGAATCAATTGCGCGCACACATAAGATGACATGAATATGAAGTTTACCTTGAGCTGTTTGGTTTGTGGAATGTGACAAACATGGTATAGTCTAAAATATTATCAGGTTAATTTCACACTATCTAAGATGACTGATGAAACCATATCTAGGTACTGTTACATTCTGCGAACCAAACGCTCCCATCACATAAACAAGATTGGCTACCTAGCTTCCATGAAATCCCAACATCCATTCCATCATGCAGTGAGGGCTGAACAACAATCTCGATGTTGCTCCCTAAGGATTTAATCAGCGAAGAGAAGAAATTGACTACTTTCTGCAAAAACTGAGTAGCTGTCAAACAAATTTCTGAAGAATTGTTTTTTGCTTTTGGTCACAAAATTATCATGTCATTCCCAAAATTTGTCCCCAAATATCACCTATTCCACTTTCCATGCATGGCTAGTAACTCAAAAGGTGAAAATGGCCAAAAAGCCACTATCAGTATTAAGGCAAAAATGGTCCATAATTTGTACTTTTTGATTCCACAATGATTCGTCACCCCCAGTTTCACATCTGATCACTACTAATTCGTCAAATATATTTACAATATTCGGTTAATTTTTCTTATTATTGAAAGAAAAGGATTGAGAGGAAATGCAGTACTTGACTATATGCTTGGACTCGGGCCGGGCCTAGGCCTGGTCGGGCCTCCGGGTTATTACAGGTGGGCCTGGGACCGGCCCAGGTTATTACCGGGTCCGGGCCTGGCCTCTTTTTAATTTTTTTTCCTTTTCCTAATTAACCCCCCTCCCACCCCAACCCCCCAAACCACCCCCAAATGGCCCAAAATACCCAGCCCAACCCGAAAAGTTAAAAAAAAATTGAAAAAAAAATTAAAAAGCCGGGAACAGGGCCCGAACCGGCCGGCCCGATTCGGCTTTTGGGTGAACTGAGCCCGCATTGGGAACCCCCCGGGCCGGGCCTACCCGGACCGGTCACTGGCCGGGCCACCGGGCCGGGCCGGTTCAGCACAGTACCGGTCCCGGGCCGGTTCCGGGTCGGGCCACCCGGCCCGAGTCCAAGCCTACTTGACTACTTGATGTCTTGATGTATAAATTGAATAGCTATCAGTGAATTTTTTAAAGAATTCTTTTTTTCCAGTTTTGGTCTGAGGACTATTAGACATTTGGACAAATTTAGTTTTTATGAAAAAGTTTCAATCTTTTTACTGTAGGTGCACAGTTATGATTTTTGTACCATGTTTGGCCCTTTCAGCCACTTATCTGTGAAATTTCCATAAATTTGTGGTTCACTTCTTTCAGATAACTGACCAAAGAGGACTTGCAAGTTAAAGGGATAAGAAGTCTATCTTCGTGCACCATTATTGGAAAAAATAATTGACTCTGAAAAAACAATCACACTGCAAACCTTTCAGTTCTCAAACACAATCACATTTCATAAAGCAAGCTGAAAGACCTTCTCTGTATAAGCAATACCCTTACCTTCTTCCCATGGAATGGTCTCAAGGTGTGAACGAAATTGCTAACGCACCGACATTCCTCTCCAATTATATCAGATAGTTGATGCAAGTTTTTCTGTCTGATTGCAATGTAAAGTTTCAGGACAGCTTCCACGGCCCTCTGATCGTTCTCTAAATTTCCGTGAGAATTATTGCACGCTACCGGCAATAGCCGCTTGTTTGTATGAACAGAAAAAGCTATATCAGGCTTAGATCCAAGGGATTTATAAGAACCTTTTTTGAGTGGATGAATAAATGGCTTTTGCTCTTGGGATGGAAAAGCAGACAAACTGGTGATGGTTGCCATTTTAGTGCGAGGAGGAAATGGTAAAGAAACCAAGTCCATAAGAAATGACAGATAGATTAAACAAGTGAAAACTCATCATACGCAAATGTATATACTTTGTGTTATTGGGAGAAGATTGTACGGAAGTATTGTCTATGGAGAGATTCCTTTGTGCAAAAGGGTAAAGGAAAACAATGCCCCACTTGCAAGTTTGGAATATTTATTAGTGGTTTGAACATGCATATATACGGCCAGGATATCTGATTTGGTTTTCTCGAAGGGGATGATGAGTAGTAGTTTAAGGCGATGACAATGGCGCAAAGAATTGGAACACTAATTTAGATAGTTGAAATGTTGCATATAATAATAATAACATAACATACTAGCAAAACATTAACAAGTGCATTAATAAAGCTATCATAACGCAAAGTATATTCAAGTCAAAATTACTCTTCCAATAAAGAAAAAGAATGAATCTGGTAGCACTTTTCAAAAAGAACAGAACTGATTAATTTTAATTTTAAGAAGACACTAACATTAATGTAGTTATGATGAAATTTAATGTGCAACCTCAAAAGATAAAGAGTGAATTCTCTATAACATTTTGACTTTCCAGGAACAATGGAAACACGAGTATGCTATTTAAACAAAATGGGATATTCATCATGAAATGGGATATTCTGATCATAGCAATCTAGTAGTGAAAATCTGAGTTACTACCTCCGTCCGATTTAATGTTCTCACCGCAAAATGACACACAAAATAATTAAATAAGCTAATTTGAATATATTTTGAAAAATTGTTTTGATGGGTATATATAATATAATGAGGTCATTGATGTTAACTGTTATGTTACATATGTGTTATTTATAATATTTGACTATCAAATTGTCATTGAAGAGTATTAATGGTTTCCTAAAATGGAAATGAGAACTTTTAGTTGATACGTCCCAATTAAAGGTTCTCACTTTCTAAATAAACCTTCTCATTTCTATTAGGAAATGATCGACACTCTTAAGTCTTAACAAGTAATCATTTTCCAACAAAAATAAATTTCCCGGGTCCTAATTTAAGGTTCTCACTTTCCCTTTTTAGACACCTCAACTACAATTTCTCATTTCCATCTTAGGAAATAATTTAAACTCTTATATGGAAATTCAATCATCAAATATTAAAAGCAATACATATCATCAATAAGACAATAACCACATTATAAAATATACTCATCAAAACTATCAAAATATCAATTACGTTATTTAATTATTATCTAAATAATCGTGTCATTTTGTGATGAGAATTTTTAAGTGGGATGGAGGTAGTGGTAAATGTAACACTAGATTTATATGGGGAGAGTATATTGCTCACGGAAGTAGAAGAAAAGATGCACACCTTCAAATTAAGTGATACTTGACCAGAAAACGTATAATCTATAATACCATCTGGAAAATATTTTCACTATCACCTCTACATATATTTTACTTGCTCAAACGAAAATACTAGTACTACGTATAATTTAAGCAAGCATTGCATCATTGCATGTATTTCACAAATACAAAGAGGCTAAAGAATATGCATGTAGTATCATTTCATCAGAGTTCTTGTTTGGATAGATTTCATCATAAAAAATGCGAATGATGTTTTTACTTGGACTGTAATTCGTCCCAGACCAGACCAGATCAGATCAGACCAGACCAGACCAGACCAGACCAGACCAGTTCAGACCAGACCAGACCAGACTTGGATAGTTATAAAAATACAAAGAAACCAGACCAGACCAGACCAGACCAGTTCAGACCAGACCAGACCAGATCAGACCAGACCATACCAGACCAGCAAATTACAGTCCAAGTAAAACATCCTTAGTTGTGAGTTGACACTTGTGTGTTTCTCTCTCCAGTTATTGAAGTTTGTTATCCTGATTACCCATTGTAGTAATAGAGTAATTAATTCCCATTAATTAGGTGTCCTAGTTTATTATGTTTCCTAATGTATTTTGGATACTATTTCTTATATATATATGACATCTAGGGCTCCCAATTGGGTTAAGCCATTCCATTATTCTCACATGGTATCAAGAGCTCTAGGTTTTAGCCCAAATTAATTTTTTTCCCTCTCCTATGGCCTCTGCCGTCGAGTCTCGGGCAGTCACCGCCGCTGCATCCCAGGCTGTCACCACCGTGACCGACCCCATGCTGAGCGCGACCGACTACCAGCCTATCTCCTCGCCTTTGCCGACAACGGTCGTCTCTTCCACGGCTGACCAGCTTTGCTCGCAGTCGTACTCGGCGTTCCCTTCTTCCCTTCCGACAGCAACGTGGGTCCCCCTATTTTGACTTGGACTCTGTCTGCACCGACTTTCAATCTGTTGGTCCAGACACCATCTGAACATCTCCCGGTCGTGTCCCCTGAAGGCTCCAACAATTCCGGTGTTCCTCGGTTTGCCGGGCCCACATTATCGGGCAGTCCAGATTTGCATCTTCCTTCGGCTGGAGTTATTGGACAACAGTCCACTCAGATGCCCACGTCGTTTGCTACACTTGCTCAAGGTATGACTTTTGGGGCCTCTATTACAACTATCGTGACCTCAAAATTGACAGCTATTGAGGATTATTTGCCCTGGCGCACTCAGTTTGAATCTTTCGTGGTAGCCAATGACCTTTTGGGATTTCTTGATGGCTCTCTATCCGCTCCGCCTATGTATATTTATGATTTATATCAGGCTCAATCCCTGAATCCTAAATATTATCATTGTCTCAAATTAGACCAGGCGGTACGTGCCTGGTTGTTTGCAACCCTTTCCCAATATATTTTGATGGAAGTTCATTCTTTGAAGAATTCTGTGGCAATTTGGCAACGTTTGGAGTCCCGCTTTATGGCTTCCAGTCTGGCACGCTCCATGGAATTGAAACAATTGTTATCACACACTAACAAGAGAGAAAATCAATCCATGGAGGAATATGTTCATGGGATTCAAACTATTGCTGAAAATTTGGCTTCCATTAACTCCCCGGTTTCCAATAATGATCTTATTGAATACACACTTTTGGGATTGGGACCGGGTTATGAGTCACTAGTGGGACCCCTTACCTTGTTTCCCGAAGGATTCACTTTTGACTCATTAGGCACAAAACTGGTCCATCAAGATGCTCATCTCTGGTACCAACAATCCTTGGAACTCCCCCCACTACACCGGCGTTTGATGCATCTAATTCGCCAGGAGGGGGGAGGGGGGCTCCTTCTCAGTTGTCTCGCAACCAGCAGCATCACACGGCTCGAGGAGGGTGTGGTGGACGGCGTGGCAGTTGCGGCCGAGGGCGCGACAGAGGTCGCCATCAGCAGCCGCAGATGTATGGACAGCCTCCGTCTTATGGTGTTCACGACTAGCAGATGTACGGCCAGCATTAGTTCCAGCAGCCACAATCTGGCCGGGGTGCCAATCATCCAAATCAGTGGGGGCCGGGTACAGTTATATGTAATTCAGTTGTGTCATCGTTTTATACTCTAGCTCTCTCTACTTTTTGTACTAACTATGCTTCTGCAGGATCTTCATCTTTTGAGAATAGTTTTGGTTCAGTTTCACGGTCAGATCTGTCATTCTCCAGGTCATTCCGCTGTTGCGTGTCCTTCTCGTTTTGTTCAAGCTCAGGCTCCTGCCCTGGCGGTTCCTACTAGTGAATCCACTCCAGCTGTTTGGTATCCTGACTCAGGTGCTTCTGCTCACATGACCTTGAATGAAGGTATTTTGCAAAATAAATCTATTTATTCTGGACCATTAAAAATTACAGTTGCTAATGGATCTAATCTCCAGGTTACGACTGTTGGTGATTTGCACTTATCTACTTTGCCTCGACCCCTTCATATAAAATCTGTTTACCATGTGCCTAATCTTAAATACAATCTTCTATCTATTCAACGATTATGTGCCGATAATAACTGTTTTGTGATTTTTGATAAAAATTCTATATGTATTAAAGACACAATTTCGGGGAAGCTAAGGTGCTCCTCCAAGCTTCCAGTAATGGTGGTGTTTACCCTATTTATTTCACACATCCCTCACCAGTGGCTCTCATCTCTCATGTTGCTTCGGGCCCAGTCTGGCATCGTCGCTCGGGACATTGTGGAAGTCGTATTTTAGCTAAATTAAAAAAATCTGGCACTATTTCTAGTACCTCTAGTTTTTCCCATGATTGTATATCTTGTCGTTTAGGAAAGTCACAACGATTACCTTTTCAAGAAGTCTGGCATAAATCTACTGCTCCTTTATTTTTAATACATTCTGATGTTTGGCACTCCCCCTGTTTTGTCTACAAGTGACTTTATATATTATGTCTTATTTATTGATAATTTTTCTCGTTTTACTTGGCTCTATCCCATGCGCCATAAAAGTGAAGTCATAACCTATTTTCAGCATTTTAAATTAATGGTGGAAAATTTACTTAACTCCAAAATTAAATTTTTCAAATTGATGGAGGGGGTGAATTTGATTATCATGGAATGCGTGATATATTTGTCAAAAATGGTATTTTATTTCGCAAATCATGTCCGGATACTCCTGAACAGAATGGTGTCGCTGAGCGCAAACACGAGCATCTCCTTGAATTAACTCGCACTATGCTTTTTGAAGCAAACATGCCAGCTAAATTTTGGGTAGATGCTGTGTTTACCGCCACATTTATTATTAATCGGCTTCCTACTCCAAACTTAAATGGCATTTCACCCTTTGAAAAATTATTTCACCATACTCCTGACTTTTCTTTTATGCGTGTATTTTGATGTGCTTGTTTTCCAAATTTTAATGCCACTTCTGCCAACAAGCTTTCTCCCAGATCCATTTTATGTGTCTTTTTAGGACATGCCCCCGAATATAAAGGTTATCGTTGTCTCGATCCTCTTACTAACAAGATTTACATCAACCGGAATGTGCGATTTTATGAAACTTATTTTCCATATTCTACATTAACTTCTTCCACATCCACCAAGGACCTGCCCAACTTTAATACTGTAAGCATACATAAGCACCATGACCATACACAGCCAGCGGCCGGCGTTCTTCCCACCACCGCCATGCAGCGGCAGCCCACACATTGCTCCTAGCCTAATTCCATTCCGCCGGCTGCCTCCACTCTTCCACCGACCGATCCCCCTACTACCCTCACTACCCCTGCGACAGCTGATAGTCCATCTCTGCCGAGTACCCCTATCTCCCCACCCACGACACCACACTCTGCCCATACGACCAGTTCACCAGCTGACAGCCCAACCC